CCCCCGTTTAGGCAGCCCCTCATCGGTCTGTGCCGGGAGGGCACACGAAGGAGGCAACCCCGCCCCAGGCTTACTCTGCCGGGGAGTTGGCCGAGGCAGCGTTATGTCCCCTGGTTCTGCGGCACCCCCGACGGCTCTCTGGCAAGGATCCAACCCCACCTCAGGCTTACGCCTCTGGGGCGCTGGCCGAGGCGGGGTCACGCCCACCGGTCCCGCGGGGCCCCTGTTCAACCCACCGGGGGCCCCGGCGATCCCGGGGGAGCCGACCTCAGGACCCGAGACACAGCCGCCCCCCGGCTCCGTGTCACCGGGGGAGAGGGAGAGCCCCACCCCGCTCCCACAGCAGGAGCCGGAGCCAGAGACACAGCCAGACCTCTCACCCAGGGCAGAGGAAGCAGCTCTCGATCTGGCAGAGGAGGACGCCCGGCTCCTCAGAACGCTGCCACACCTTTTCCAGATCCCCAGCAGCTGGGCCAGCCAGGGCTCATAATCGACCACCAGAGCCTCGATGTGGGAGTCGCCTAAAGTGTCCCAAGCCAACTTCGGAAAAGTAGACACAGCCACAGGGGAAAACCCCTCAACTCTCCCATACTCACACAATCACTGAAAGTCAGCATACAAAACATCAATCCCTTTCTGATCAAACACTGCATGCCATAGTTCCATAACCAGGCCCTCCGAAAGAGAGAACCCAAAAGCAGCCATAGCCACAGGCTAGACAGTACCCTGTAACTGTCATGTGCAAGACACGTCGGGGTTCACCAGATGTTGCCGCTGGTGCTGAATAGATCCCACAGACATAGGCCGAGGTGTGGTGAAAAGAAGAGAGAGTTTATTTTTCCTCCCAGGATTTATAGGCTTCTGATCACGGCCAGGGATTGGATGGTCAGGATAACACTTTCTCACTACACTGGCCATGAGAGATGCCCGTCACAAGATGTGTAACAGAAATAATGTACACATATCTATGTTTACAGTTACTGTCCTGGGAAAGTCTTAGAAAACTATGTTAGCAAGCTCAGAAGATGAGTTTTCAGGTCGACATACATTGGCACTTCCTTGGGAATAATTCAAATTAGGCTACAAGGGTTTTATTGGAAAATAAAGTTATTTAAATTTTAAAGACTTATAACAGTTTGTAATTATTGCCTATAAGTACAAAATATTGAGAGACCGCCAGCTATTCACCACCCTTCACAGAAGTAAACGTGAATGCCATTTATTTCTATCTTTAGCACACCTTTTATAGGGTTCTACAGGGTCCGCGGGCAGAGCAAGCTACTATTGGCTAACACACACAGGTTTACATTTTTTCTCCTACACACAAGGATATTGTTGTGCTTTACTCTCTCTTCTGCAGGAAGGTTTCAAGGGCTTTAGCCTTTAATATCAAGACTTACTTCAAAGTCTGGTTTGTGCAGACAGACCTTTACTAATATATAAAATATATCAACAACAAAATATTTGTAATTATAAGAAAATTTTCAATGGAGAGCAGTTAATATTGATTTTTAAAGTTATGGATTGTATGGAGCTGTACACATATGTATCACACAAAACTATCAAAAGAACTCATAGGTAAAAAACTTGATTCTTTCCTATTATAAGGAATTCTTGTGTGATTTAGTACTTCAAAGTAATAATTTCTAAGTTCTTAGAAGAGGATGCTTGTTCTGTCGAAAGCAAACAAAACATCTTTCAGAAAGCCTAATATTGCATCTGTGAAAAGTCAAGGGTAAATTTAATGACAAATTAAGATTGCATTATACTGTGCAGGATTTAGGGAAATAATTTCTGAGCCATTATCAGTTTTCTTAGGTGTGGCTACCAAAATTTCATTGGATAAATTATAGAATTTTAGTTTCCCCACGGCTTCAAAAAGGAAAAGTTGTTTTCTGGGCTTTATTTTTAAAAAAGAATATATAAAATAACAGCTTAAGTATTGATTTTTACTTTAGTCTACTAAGAAATAGGCTTTTAAATTAGGTTACATATTAAAAAAACCCAAATTTTAAAACAACATAGGTGAAATTTAATTCTCAATAGAAACAGCTCAATGTATATTGTGTGTCCATGTATAACAGCCTAAATTCTTGTGATTTTTGCTGTGGTATTCAACTAACAATTGAAAAAAAAACATGCATGTGATTCAAAATTAACTCATAGTGGCATGTTTCCATTGATCCCAAATGAAGAAGGAAAAACCTTGGGTTTTTTTATTTTTTTATTTTTTTCTGTAGACTCAAATCTGAAATAAAAGCACTTAAGATTTTCATTCAAATCAGAAAACGTAGAGGCTAGGAAAAATGGCTTTGCCCTTTATGTACCCTGTTGTACTACTGCTGGCCTTTTGGCAAGGATTCTTTCATTATTCCCTAGTACAGATAACTTCCCTTGTTCATAAAAATAGCAGTGCAACACCAAAACACCACAGTTTCTAAAAAGAACATTAATTCACTAGTCTGTAGCTAGCTTCAGATGCTCATGAAATTCATGGTTTGCAGCCTTGGAAATACTGTCAATATTGGTGTTTTGATGGATCCTAAATTCTAAAATTCTTTCCCTGTATCTTCTGGACCTTTTCTGGTGCTTTTTGTTTGTCTCTTAATAAGAGAGCCAAAACCAGAGAATAATTTTTGTTGGAAAAAGCCTCTGAGATCATTGAGAAATCATCAGCCTATGTCACCACCTTGTCAACAGGACAATGGTACTCAGTGCCACATCCAGTCTTTTCTTAAACACCTCCAGAGATGGTGACTCCGCCATTTCCCTGGGCAGCTCATTCCAATCTTTAATCACCCTTCTTCTGTGAAGAAATTACTCCTGATATCAAACCTGAAGCTTCCCTGGCACAGCTTGAGGACATTTCCTCTCATTCTGTCACTTGCTACCTGAGAGAAGAGGCCACTTCCCAGCTGGCTACAGACTCCTTTTAGGGAGTTGTAGAGAGTGATATGGTCCCCCCTGAGCCTCCTTTTATCCAGGATAAACACACCCGGTTCCCTCAACTTCTCCTTGTGGTCCAGACCCTTCCCTGCCCTTCTCTGGACATGCTGCAGCACCTCAATGTCTTTCTCGTAGTGAGGGGCCCAGAACTGGACACAGTACTCGAAGTGTGGCCTCACCAGTGCTGGATACAGGGGGACAATTACTGCCCTGGTCCTGCTGGCCACACTATTTCTGATACAAAAGACCTTTCCCTACTTCACTGAAATAAATTAACACTCTGAAACACAAAGGATTGCAAAATAGTTAATGTACACTGAGGATAGCTTATTTAAGATGCAAGACCTTACTACATTTAGTTGTACCTTCCCCTCCATTGTTCCAGGTACTAAATGATCATTCATATATTTGATGTATTGGTCTGGGTTATTCAGAAAAATAGAATTTCTGCTAGTACTGTCGTATTGCTTAAAAAGCCATACTCATTTGCAAGTTTTAAATTAACTGTATTATGCAAGAGGATTTTTTTTTTGAAAAAAAAATAGTGCAAAACAGTACAGAAGGATCCATACCTCCTGACACTGCTGTCATAAATATTTAAGTATGGGTTTCTAGTGCCATTTTAGATGTCACAGTGCATCTGCACCTGGATGCCAGATGTTGTTCCATAACCAGTGTCTTGGTTCTTTATCATGTTTTCCTCTATGCTGAGATCTAAAAAAAGCTAGAATATCTCAACCAGCACAAAACACGTATATTTAAGGAGATAAGGTGCTCCTATGTATATTAATACTCTACTTTTTAACAGATTGATAGATTGTTTGATAGATAGATAGATGATAGATAGACATCTTATTGCATTGCAAAGTCTGTTGTCAGTTTCTTAATCCCCCTATAAAAAACATAAGCAACTTTGACCTCCTGTGAGCTTAGCTAAAGATAGTCCTCACATTTGCAGAGGCAAAAAGTAACAAAAGACATCGTCTGCTGTTCTTCCAAGTGAAAAGACAATGGTGGAAGAATCAGACTGTTGCTCCTATCAGGAGTTTAAATACCTCAGAACATCATCTCTCACCACATTTTGATCTTCTGCCAAAAGTCATTTCACTTCAAAACAAGAAGGACAGTAAGATCCAGAGATGTAATGTAGACCCAAATCTGAATTTTCATC